GACTCCACAGAGTGCCCGTTACGATCGTATCAGACAAAGATACCAGATTCGTCAGAAGATTCTGGCACAGCTTACACGAGGCGATGGGCACGAAGCTAGAATTCAGTTCAGGCTATCATCCAGAGACAGATGGTCAGTCAGAGCGGACTATTCAGACGCTTGAGGATATGCTTCGCGCTTTGGTTGTTGACAGGGGTGCTAAGTGGGAGTCGTTGTTGCTGTACGCGAGTTCGCGTATGACAATAGCTACCATTCTTCTATTCAGATGGCTCCTTACGAGGCACTTTACGGTCGCAAGTATCGTTCCCCTCTCTATTGGGACGACGTCGGAGAGCGGCGAGTACTCGGTCCTAAGTTGATCGAGGAGACAGCAGATCAGGTCGAGTTGATCCGGCAGAGACTCAAGACAGCTCAGAGTCGACAGAAATCCTCCACCGATCATCATCGACGAGACATTCAGTTCAAGATTGGCGAGCCAGCCTTTCTCAGAGTTCGTCCGATTCGTGGAGTTGTTCGATTCGGAAAGAGAGGAAAGCTGCATCCTCGATTCATCGGTCCGTTCGAGGTTCTCGAGCGAGTAGGCAAGGTCGCGTATCGATTAGCCCTACCTCCCGAGTTATCAGGCATTCATAATGTATTTCACGCATCAATGTTGCGTAAGTACGTGTGCGACCCCGATCATGTCATTCCCCATTCAGATATTCAGATTCAGCCAGATCTTTCGTACGAGGAGCGACCGGTAGCTGTACTAGACCGTCAGGTTCGTCGGCTCCGGAAGCGAGATGTTCCCCTTGTGCGTATTCAGTGGGATCGCCAGGAGCTACTTGGGAGACAGAGTCCGATATTCGCGCTCGTTTTCCAGATTTTCAGTTTTGATGTACATATTTTCTTATTCTATGTACATAGTTCATGTATATTCATCTATGTTTTGAATTTCCGAGGACGGAAATTTTGTAAGGACGGAGGATTGTAATATCCCGTCAGTTTCAGTATAAATTATATTTTTAGTTCCGATATTAATGTTCGGAATTAATTATTTTCAGTCATTTCAGTCGAGATTACCGAAAATTATTTTCGACGTATCGTTTACGTTCGGAATAATTTTGGTAATTAAGTATTATGCTTAATAGTTAATTAAGCATAAAGTGATGATTAATGAATAATTAATTAAGCTTAAGAAGCTCAATGCCGTGGGCAATTCTAAGTTTTAATGCATGAAAATTCTCCCATTTAAACTCCAAATGCCGTAAGTAATATAAGTGGGAAATAGTGCATTTATCCTCAATTTTTTTTGTTTCTTAAGTAAGCAAGTAGGAGGTGTCTTATTAGGGTGCAATTAGTGGTGACTCATAAGCTTATTTGATGAGTTACCATTTTTATTTTCCCTAATTGAGACATGTGGCAAGTTAAGCTAAAACCTCCACCTCCCAAACTCCATTCGGCCATCATGTTATATATATGTATAAGTTGGAGAAATTTGGTTCACTTCTCCTTAAAGAGTTCAGCACATATATTTATCCTATGTATTAGAGAATTGAGAGTTTAGTGAGGAGAGTATAAGGCTTACCGCTCGGCGCACGCGAGAAGCTTGGATCAACCGCACCGCAAAGCACCGCACGCACGCACGTCCGGCCACCACGAGGTTCAAGTACTTCGGGTGTAGTTCCGCAAGCAAGAAAAGAGGTAATTTTGTTACCTTGATTTATTCATGTTATAGGCATGTTATCTTTGAGTGGTGCGTAGTCATGGCACGGCTTAAAGCCACTCGGCCGTGCGGGTGTG